TGTTGTTTATAAGGCACAGGTACAGTCATGGATGCTGTTTATAAGGCACAGGTACAGCCAGGGATGTTGTTTATAAGGCACAGGTACAGTCATGGATGTAGAGTAAGATGTGTATACTGCACAGGTACAGTCAGGGATGTTGTTTATAAGGCACAGGTACAGTCAGGGATGTAGAATAAAGTATGTATATATGCACAGGTACAGTCGTGGATGTTGTTTATAAGACACAGGTACAGTCATGGATGTAGAATAAAGTGTGTGTAGTGGACAAGTACAGTCATGGATGTTGTTTATAAGGCACAGGTACAGTCATGGATGTTGTTTATAAGGCACAGGTTCAGTCAGGGATTTTGTTTATAAGGCACAGGTACAGTCAGGGATGCTGTTAATAAGGCACAGGTACAGTCAGGGATGTTGTTTATAAGCACTGGTACAGTCATGGATGTAGAATAAAGTGTGTGTACTGCACAGGTACAGTCATGGATGTTATTTATAAGGCACAGATACAGTCATGGATGCTGTTTATAAGGCACAGGTACAGCCAGGGATGTTGTTTATAAGGCACAGGTACAGTCAGGGATGTTGCTTATAAGGCACAGGTACAGTCAGGGATGTTGTTTATAAGACACAGGTACAGTCAGGGATGTTGCTTATAAGGCACAGGTACAGTCAGGGATGTTGTTTATAAGGCACAGGTACAGTCAGGGATGTTTTGTTTATAAGGCACAGGTACAGTCAGGGATGTTGTTTATAAGGCACAGGTACAGTCAGGGATGTTGTTTATAAGGCACAGGTACAGTCATGGATGCTGTTTATAAGGCACAGGTACAGTCATGGGTGTTGTTTATAAGAATTGGTACAGTCGTGGATGTTGTTTATAAGCACTGGTACAGTCATGGATGTAGAATAAAGTGTGTGTACTGGACAGGTACAGTCATGGATGTTGTTTATAAGCCACAGGTACAGTCAGGGATGTTGTTTATAAGACACAGGTACAGTCAGGGATGTTGTTTATAAGGCACAGGTACAGTCAGGGATGTTGTTTATAAGGCACAGGTACAGTCATGGATGTAGAATAAAGTGTGTGTACAGGACAGGTACAGTCGTGGATGTTGTCAATCAGACACAGGTACAGTCATGGTGTAAAATTTCTAGAGTTGTCTGGACAGTACAGCAGAATCTTAGGAGGTGGATCTAATAAAAATATTTACTTATACAAATATTTTCTTCGGATGTTATCGATAATTATAGCATTAATTTCCTTTAATATGATCAATTATTTTAATACCATACCCTACATATTTCAGGTATCACACCACGGTTATCGACCAGTCAAGATGTTAATTGTTCCATGCATATAAAATTAATTTTTATTTCTTTTGAGAATTTATTTATTTATTTATTTATTTATTTTTTTTGGGGGGGGGGGGGTCTTCCAGTCTATTTTTACAACTTTGATGCCTGTGCCTAGTAAATTTTATGTACTTTGTAAATAAATAAAGGTTTTTTGGTCAGGATCTATTCTTTTTCATGCAGGGCATAGGAGGATAATTCCTGGGTTGCACTTGAGATGTTTATATATAACACATTGAAAACGGGTGAATCAGCCCATTCCACCCGTATATATCGTAAGACATATATTTATGGGGAAAAAAACCTGTGTTTTTCATTGACACCACTTGCGTGATCAATGAAATGGGTGAAATTAATAATATTGTAACGTACTTATACTTTCTAACATAAAATTAAGGATTAAAAATTAATTCCGATATTTATTTTAATTTCCTTTTTTATTTTACTTTGTTTATTGTTTACTCATATATTTTCTATAATTATACTAGCATGTTTCATTTTAAATTCATCATTATTATTGAGCACGTAGGATATTGAAATCATGCCCCCAGCCCCTACCCCCCCCCCCCCCCAAAAAAAAAAAAATTAAAGACCTGGCTCATATTGTACTCTGAACATAAAGCTTTAAACTTAAATCTGTAAAAGGTTTGGATCCTTCCCTAATTACTGCTGACATCGTTTGTCTCGGTATCACTGCCATGGGTAATATAAAGATAAGCGTTAATTGCGCCTTGATTGAATTCAGTCTAAATCTAAATCGGAGAAAATCCACAGAATTTTTTGTTGAGGATGTTAGTAATCAAGCGCGGGTTGAGTCAGTGGTAGTGTGTATGTACGGCACAGGTTGTATATCAGGCACAGGATACAGTCATAGATATACAAAATGTACGCTGTAGTAAATGTTACTTTTTAGAGATAATAGCGATTCATGCAATGGATTTAGGCATAGTCAAATTTACATATATTTTCCGCGATATATTCATTAAGCCAGTTATCGTTACCGTTTTGGCGATTATAGCCTTCCATAAAGTAGATTTATTTAAAATCAGAAATTTTCTTTCCTCCATATTAACACATTTCGTATTTTTCATTAAAAAACAATCCACACTTAATTAACAACATATAGTTTAATATGTTGAACAATCCGGAAAATCTTGCTCTGACATTCCGTTTTTGATATTAGTGAGCAGGTACAGTCATGGATGTCCGGTACCAGCATTGCCGAGTACAGTTGCGGATGATAGCTGACAGCCACTGTTGCAAATACACTTACTGACTTTATCGCTGCCGAACATGACCGGAATTTCTTCGCATGCATGGTCGATAAAAAATTGGTAGCAACTGTTCCTTCGCCAAGCACTCGTTACTTTGAAGTGACCTTAAAAGCGAACTTTGGTCTTAAAAACCGAGGCCCCGATCGAGTCACGGTATAGACGTCGGCACGGTAAAGAACCCTCACTGCTCAATGGCCCTGAGTGCCGAGTAAAGGTCTTACTTTGAAGCCCTTCACCGGTATATGGTGACGTCTAGCTCTGTATGAGTGAAATTAAATTCTAGAACGGGACGTAAAACAACATGCAATCAGTCAATCAATCTTCGCATGGTTTATGTTTAGTGATGCTGTAAGGTGGTTTAAGAGTTTATATGACCTTGCCGAAAATCATTTCCCGGAAGCCAAAGAAATTTTAAAATTGTGAAAAAACGTACCTTATTATAATTAAATCAATTGAAGAACTATTCAAAGATTTAATGTGATTAATACAATACATGTACATATATATATGCAATTGATGCATCAATATATAGAAAATGACACCGGCCGTAATAAAGTGGAACCTACTAGTAAAAAAAACAGTTTGCGTTAATCTGTCCAGGAAGTCTTCAAGTCCACCCTCAACAAGGTCTGCCTGTAATAGCATCTCTCCCGCCGTATTAAAACAAAAGTTAAGGAGGCTGGGGGGTCAACAAATTAACCATCAGATATAACTTATTTTTTTTAGATATGATATCTTAAGATGTCAACTATCATTTTGCAAAGAAAAAATTCATACATTTTAGTTTTAAAATTTGATCATTTTTGTATATCTTTATATGGAGCTCTTCTTCTAAAGGAGATCAAAATAGTCTAAAAATGGCCACGACCACCCATCCCTCTTAAATCATCGAAAAGGATCCCCTCCGTCAGCTTTCTTACCTTGAGCGTCTGTCCAAAGTTTTGAGTATTTAGTAAGGATATACTGAAAAAAATTAAAGAGAACTGCTGTAGTAAAAGTCTAAATTTACGTGAAAATATTTTAGTCTTAGATTTCACGAGTAATCTTGTGTGTACAGACAAAAAGAAAATCATGAAATGGAATTTTTAATCTTTTTAATCGTTTACATATTTACAAGTAATCGTTTGAATTTAATTATGCATGAAAAATTGGTGCAGATTTTCTCTCAAATAATATATCTACGGCAATCTAATTTTAAAATCATATATGTTCCGAATCCGCAATTGTTTGCTATCCTTTAGTACTACTAAATTTATATAATGACCTCGTCATGATAATGCATGTACATTTGTTACCTGCATCAAATGAATTTTTATTTCTTATACTCTCCATGGCCGTAGGAACCTGTGGGGGGGGGGGGGGGCTGCCCCCCCCCCCTAATTTTGCTGATATATAGAATACTATAGAAAACATAACTACTAAAGATATGCGTGTGCCCCCTCAATGATAACGTCTGATGACTTTTTTTTTTGCCTCCAACTGAAATTGCTTCCTACGGGCCTGCTCTTACTCTCTCATGATTGTAGAGAAAGAAGGGAGGGGGGTTGAGAGTGTGCAATTTTTAATCAAGTCGTCTTCAGAAAACACAATATTTTGACATATTTCAACAACGTATTTAATTAATCAGATAAGTGCGACTGATATTGATTGGGTTTTAAATGTCATATAAGTCTCGTGTATTTAACCAGGGATATACATTTCTGCAGAGCCATTTGAACTCCGCTGATACATTATTTTAATGGACCCACACATCACCGTACAATACCAGTAACAAATCGTTACAAAACATCGTTATTTCCAATTTAAATGAACAATGCAAAAGGTTTAAACGTTTTTATTTATCCAAAGACATTTATGTACAAAAGAATGAGATATCGATTGTCCATCCAACGATCAAAAGCAATTCAAATATCATAAAGCTTGATATTAAGTTTCGCACGTTACATTCGGAACAGCATTGTGCAATAAAATAAGATAAATATCGGGGCCTGACGGCATTTGGTAGGTATGATTTGTAGGCCAGTGAGGTTAATACCTGATGTGACCAACAGCTTTAAATCTCAACACGGATTACCAAATGACTTAACTTCATGCTAAGTTCACAGGATCAGATTAAGAAATCAAAATAGAATATTCTTCTATCTAAACTCCAAAAATAAATAAAAGTGTTCACTAGAAAATGGTCTGTCAGAAAAGAAAGGGTTAAATTCTAAGTTTTTAGTGAATCTTTACATCTGTTATGTGTACTTCTTTGGATTATTTTTACTAAAGAAGGGTTTACTTAACACCAATTAGGGAACTGAAGTGGAATTCCAGATTGATAAATAGTACTACTGAATTTAATTATTGGATTTGCATGATTTTGTTGTGAGAATGGCCGAGGGAGAGAATGCGACGATTCTGACGTATGTTCGGGAAAAAGAGGCGGCAAAAGAAGAGGTGAAAAAAATAGAGAAAGAATTAGCCGTCACGAAATCAAAACTATATGACGCAAACTTGAAGATCGACGAACTCAAAGAAAAGGTAAGGTTCTGTACAGCCCTCGCTCCTCCGGAGTCCTCTTACCTCTCTGTTTTAATATATGCTGTAACAACCAATGGTCACGGTTTATAATGTTTATACATATAGTGTATGTATCACAAAAAAACCTTTTGTTCAAGATACATTGAATTTATTGAAAAATGCCCCTCCCTCCCATTTTAAAAATCTGGCTACTGAACAAATGCTGGACCACAGTTAGGAGTCCTCAGTTTTTATTCGGACCACTCTCCACAGCGACAAGTTCATAAGAAAATACTTTATCAAAATACATTGTTTTAAAATAATGGGTAAATATTCATTTAAAATCTTGTTCGTGCGTAAATGTCATGCTGTAATTGGATTTACATTTGTACCGGATGGCAGTACAAAAAATGTTGTCGTGTAATTTTTGTATAAGCTGCCTCCGGGTAACGAGAATTTCAAAGATTACAACAAGACACAACCGACCATGTCAGTACTTATGTTTTAGAGTAACATGGTTCTACTGCAAGACGAATTAGATACAGATCTTTTTTAAGTAAATCAAGATGATTTGTTCTCTTTCAACCACGTCCATGGTCATTTTCTGCATGGTTTTTGATGTCAAATATATACAGTATCCCGATCTTAGAGACTTAAACTGTTGTCAAAAATATGACCCTAAGTTAGAAGGTGATCAAGTTTGATTTATTTCAATTGCCTTATATTTTTAATTTAGAAACATTTTTGTAGAAAAAAAAATTCTCAAAGCCTAGTAAGAACAAAACCCAGTAAGAAGAAAGCCCAGTAAGATCAAAGCCTAATAAGAAGAACGCCCAGTAGGATTAAAGCCCAATAAAACAAAACCCAGTAAGATCAAAGCCTATTAAGAAGAACGCCCAGTAAGATCAAAGCCCAGTAAGAAGAACGTCCATGCAGTAAGATCAAAGCCCAGTAATAACAAAATCCAGCAATATCAAAACCTAGTAAGAAGAACGCCCAGTAAGATTAAAGCCCAGTAAAACAAAAATCAAAGTACTGAAAGTACTGGGAAGCGCTAAGCATATTGCAATTTGAAATTCATCAAAATTATTTTGAATTTAAATTGCTGTTGTATTGGAATTTAAGCAATATCCCGACAGTGCGGCTGCGTTAGGGCTAGCACAGTTGTTTGATACATAATCAAACATGTGAGTCATGAAAATTTCCCGTTGGGATATGAAATTCAACATTGTCTTATGCCTTTTTATTTTAAGCATTTTACATTTTCTTCTTCTGTCAAAAGATCAATGAATTTCATATACACAAAATTGCAAGAAAATACTTCTCCGCTTCTTTAAAAAAAATAATATATACAAATTAAATGGCAGATATTTACTCCAAACAGCAATGTACCTGAAACCTATTAAAAAGAAAGAAAAACATGTAAAAATATTTTCTTTCTCCATCTCCTTATAAGAGTCTATAAGAGGTAGTTTTGCGTATAAATCGCAATTTATTGGAGGGATGGTCGACGAGTTTTCCGACCAAATTTAGACTATAAACAGTGGCGTAGCTTCCATTGAAGCACGGAAGCACGTGCTTCCACATTGTTCGGTGGGGGGAAATGAATTCATAAAAAGTTACAATGCTTTTCAAAAATAAATTTGAAACACTCTCCAAAGAAAATACTGAACTGTAGAAAAAGTTTGCATTATTTGTTTAATTTTTTAATTTATATTAAATTTATGAATATCATTTCTATATATAATTCATAAGACTCAAGTTCATGAAAACATTCATGTATGATTGAAATTTCAAAAGCATTTTATAAAGGATAATACATACTTAGTGTAAGATGTATAACATTGAATATATGTAAAATGCATGTAGGCCTATAACAGGCTAATAATAAGGACATCTGGGAGAACTGCTGCTTAAAAAGTATTTAGAAAAAACAAACTAACATTTAACATTTTATGGTTTAAAATGTTATTAACCTTTTTAAAGTCAATCGTCACTTGTCTAAAATGCACCAGCTTCCAGGGGCTTCGCCGCCAGAGTCCCCAGGACTTCGCCTTGGTCCCACGGGGGCTTTGTGCCCCCCCCCCATTTTATGCTTTCACATTGATCGACCCCAAGCTACGCCACTGATAAATGTAACTATACATTTGCTGGAAAATGTATATATTTCTAAATGATTTTGAATACTTGAAAATGCCGCTGAAATTCCTCTCATTTATGTGCAACACCGACAGCTAAAATATTCTGGTGATAATTTTTGATAATAAATTCATTCCGTGCTTGTTTACGAGTGTTTCAAATTGATTAATTGATTGATTGTATGTTTTACGTCCCATTCGAGAATTTTTCACTCATATAGAGACGTCACCATATACCGGTGAAGGGCTTTTTTGACCTTTACTCGGCACTCAGGGCCATTGAGCAGTGAGGGATCTTTATCGTGATACATGTAACGCCTGCCGTGACACGGGGTCTCGGTTTTTAAGGTCTCATCCGAAGGACCCGCAACTTTCACTTCAAAGTGCCGAGCGCATGGCGAAGGAACAGTTGCTACCCATTTTTTTTATCGACTTAGGTCAGTCGAGGCCGAGATTCGAACTCACGACCTCCCGATCACGAAGCGAGCGCTCTATACCGACTGAGCTACCGTGAACGGTATTGTTTCAAATTGAAGATTGGCTGTTAGTGACTGTGCTTTAATTCTAAAAACTGCACTCGGAAAATAAAGATGTTATTTGTTTATTGCGTCGATAAATATTTCCTTATTGAAAACATAATTATTTATTAAAGTTATAGATAAAACATCTCAAAAATATTGAATACTAGAATTCTCACTAAATTGTTTTTAGTATATCTCTTTTTTTCATATTCATAAGCGATTTATTAATTTACGTTTCGTAGAAAGGCAGGCGCGTAGCTGCCTATACGCAAATACGCAAGTGCGTACACATCAATTTCAAAAAAAAAAGAAAAAAAAAAAGAAAAAAAAAAAGAAAAAAGAAAAAAAAAAGAATTATTCGGAGAAAAAAATCTCAGTACCATCCAAGAAATATGTTTAAAATTAGAATTTCAAATTTTATCATACAGCCATGATAATTTAAAATTAATTTAAATCGAAAAGTATTCACTGCTATAAATATTACTATGTCTTTTATTTTACTATGTCTTTTATTTCCTAAATAAAAGCTAAATGGCCCAATTTTTATTTTGCAAGAAATGAATGAAATATTTGGTAAAACTCAGGAGCTTAAATCTAGGCCCTCATCAGCAGACACATAGTATCGCGGGAGGGGGGGGGGGGGCTCCACCCCAGCTTATTTTCAAACCTAACCTTTTACTATTGAAAATGTACATTGAAAGGGTGGACCCCACGGTTTCTTGTAGCATTGTTAAATCATGGTAATTTGGTAATGTTTTAATAAACTTTGGTTTGTGAAAGTTGGACCCCCCCCCCCAAAAAAAAAAAACCCACAAGAAATAGGACTCCAAATTTGACTTCTTTCTTCCTTGCTTGTCAAAGTTTTTAAAGCTGTAATTTTTTCCTGGCTGGCATAAACTATATTACGTGTCTGACCAGAGCCCTTGACACACTGGGGGGGGGGGGGGGGGGGCTCAAGACCCCCACCCCACCCCGGCCTGCCTTCCTCTGCGTACACATCATTTCCATTCTGGCTACGCGCCTGAAAGGATTTTACAAGAAATACATTAATGGAGTGTGTAAGATATTTACACAATCGCTACGAGCGTCCAGTATTTATTAATGATAAATAAAACTTAGACTATATATTACATACTGTTTTGAATAGTCTACAGCTGTGTAGTATACATTTTGAACACTTCACATTCACCGCGCTGTGCAGCATATCGGCATCATGTTTGTAACAACGCCATGTGACAGAACTCTATGTCAATGAAATGAGCACTCGTAGAGTTAACGTCCTTTTGTCAGAGATAATTGGTAAATATACATTTTGAGTATAAAGATATAATATTTGTCTTCTTCGTTTGATGATAAAACATTCGGTGCTATCCTTTCATCTCTGATTTTCATATACGTAATTTATAATGCATTGCAACAAAAATTTGTCTTTTCTGTTGATCTCACAATATGTATAATTTGTAAATATTACTTTTTAAAATGAAATTTTCATACTTTTCTTCTTCGGATTAAAAATATGTCATTAAACCCCAAAAGTATTTTGGACTATTGTTAAAATGCTTTAAAATGCTTCTATATTTTTTTACGGACGTTTGATGCTTTACACAATTCTTTACTTGTTTATGTATGATATTAACAACCACACAAAACGTGTTTAGAGGAAAAAAATATCCACAGCACTGTTGTGTTAGTTGAAAAGGAATACTGAAAATAATTGCCCGTAATTTTTCTGCTATTTCTATGATAAATAATTCAACAGCCCAAGAAAAAAAATACAGTGTATTAATCTCAAGTATATATATATAAATCTTCATGAAGGTATACAACATTTTTTATTCTGTTTTTATGTGGTCCTCATTAAGTTGCTAAGCAGTCAAATCGGCAACACGCGCACATCTTGACATAAACTATTTCTTACTAGTTTCCTAATACAAATAAATTACACTGTTTGCTGAACAATTCATCGGCGCTATTCCTATCCATTGCTAATAACGTTTAATTAAGGTTTTTGCATTTTTCGCCATATCTTGCGCACTGCAATTTTAAAGCACAATATTCCGAGAAATTAGTTTTCCTATTTGAGTGGATTCGTTGAAAACACAGCCACCACGTGCCCTATATGTACGTACAGCCGCAAACTGCCTTTCCTTGCGAATTATTTACATCATATTTTTATCCATATTATAAGTATAGAGTACCACAAAAGTATAGACAGTCCATGAATGCATTCCAGCCTGTTACTAATTGATACAGAGATGCGAAAATCAACTCCATTGATAGCTCTCTGCATGGTGCAAGGGTGATAATAGGAAGACTTGTTTTTAGTTACATTGCCTGAAATAAGGGTCTATAAGAAGAAATAATAGTTTATATGGATATAAGTTATATAGAACGTACATATGTAAGTACATTGTAAATCAATTTTATGCGAAATTTTCTACTAAATAACTCAATTCCAGTTTGAGTTTTAAATTCGTATTAAAATCACATCTGAGTTTTAAAAATATGTACTTATTCAATCACTACATTACATGTACATGACATATAATAAACTGTTTTTAATTTTAAGTATTTGCGCCATAAATGCAGCAATTGTTAGCTGCATGGTACACAACTGATGAATGTCGACACGATACAATGTATAGAGATAAGCATGACAAGAACCGCCCTTATCTATTAACAGTGGATTTTCCTACAATGTACATGCATATCTTTACCTTACTCATTGACTCCTATTATTAGAACTGCACGTAACTCAGTATTATACTAAAAAAGAGAGTCGGGGATTTCCAGTTGCATATTTTTAGAAAAGCCAGTGGAGTTATCTAACTTGCTTAGTGGCGCTGGATCGCGAACGGAAGTAGATTTAAGATGACAGTAAGCGCTCTGCGCTGCGCTTAGCGCTTAACCAGTAAGATCAAAGCCTAGTAAGAACAAAACCCAGTAAGATCAAAGCCCAGTAAGAAGAACGCCCAGTAAGATCAAAGCCTAGTAAGAACAAAAACCAGTAAGATCAGAGCCCAGTAAGAAGAACGCCTATTAAGATCAAAGTCCAGTAAGAAGAACGTCCATGCAGTAAGATCAAAGCCCAGTTATAACAAAACCCAGTAAGATAAAAGCCTAGTAAGAAGAACGCCCTGTAGGATTAAACCCCATAAAACAAAACCCAGTAAGATCAAAGCCTAGTAAGAACAAAACCCAGTAAGATCAAAGCCTAGTAAGAACAAAACCCAGTGAGAAGAAAGCCCAGTACAATCAAAGCCTATTAAGAAGAACGCCCAGTAGGATTAAAGCCCAATAAAACAAAACCCAGTAAGATCAAAGCCTAGTAAGAACAAAACCCAGTAAGATCAAAGCCCAGTAAGAAGAACGCCCATTAAGATTTAAGTCCACTAAGAAGAACGTCCATGCAGTAAGATCAACACCCATTTATAAAACCCAGTAAGATCAAAGCCTAGTAAGAAGAACGCCCAGTAGGATTAAAGCCCAGTAAAACAAAACCCAGTAAGATCAAAGCCTAGTAAGAACAAAACCCAGTAAGATCAAAGCCCAGTAAGAAGAACGCCCAGTAAGATCAAAGCCCAGTAAGAAGAACGCCCAGTAAGATCAAAGCCCAGTAAGAACAAAACCCAGTAAGATCAAACCCCAGTAAGAAGAACGTCCATGCAGTAAGATCAAAGCCCAGTAAAAACAAAACCCAGTAAGATCAAAACCAAGTTAGAAGAAAGCCCAGTAAAAACAAAGCCCGGTGAGAAAACATAATGTATTAATGCCGGTGTAAATTTATTTCGATCAATAATTCAAACTTGATTTTCCTGGACAAATTCAATATCCTACAGCCCAGTGTATGAACATGTCTGTGTAGAAAAACCTCGCCGCATACCTATATAGTAACGTATTTGGCAATATGAATATCTTTAAAGATCGGAAAAAACGGTACAGAAATATCCTGACCCTCTAGCAGATTTGGACAATCATAAGACGTGGAAATATTACATATGAAAATCGCGGTTGTTAATATTGTTGACACCCCCTCTCCTTCTATGCATTCGATTGTTCTTTCTCTTTTCATACATAGAAATGGGTCAGAATTTTTCGACATCCTTCATTGTCAACAAATTTCTATCTCAATTAGTAATCAATCAATCTTTTTACTGTTTTTAGATATATGGAATTAATCTGATACTTTTTTGAGATACAAATAATATTTTTGTATCGGATACATTGACACAGAACTTGTATACAGTTCTCCTATCTGCAGAACATGCAACTAATTAATGCCCAAGTAATGTTCTATTCGTTATTTAAATTAAATATTTACTTTTGTTGTATTGTTCTCATTTAAATTTAAGTGGTTTATGATAATATGCTTCGATAAACAGAAAATGCATGTTCATACAGTGAGTGATAATGGATGTTTTATGAATTTAAGATGTATAAAAAAAAAAAGACTGCTCAAAACCAGTACCTAAAAACCAAATATTGATTAATAGTTGTCGATGAACAAACTGAGAATCTATTAACATGCAAATAAAAAAGGGGTACATGTTCTGCAAAGGAGGGGGGGGGGTCTTAATACATGTATTGGAATTAATATCCTTAAGAAGTATTCAGTTAACTGGATTCAAAACTTTAAAACCTTTTTATATACAGTTTTAAAGATTTCTTACTGAACCGCTCCCAACAATTCTAATACATGTGATTTATCTTTGATACTAAAAAAATTATATCACAATGAAAAAGTTAATTCAGTGTCACTGAACCAATTGCATATCACCGAGAAACTCTAAAAGATGTCTTCTCAGGCACGTAGTATCCGGGAGGGGGGGGGGGGGGTAGGGGGCAGGGGCCTATGAGATGACATACACCACTAAAGTGGGCAAAAAGGATTATTTCCTCATATTATAACGCAATTATTTTCCATGTGAATAGGACTTCGGTCCATTTTTTTTTTTAAAGTTTATCCTGAAAGTTTGCGTTAAAATTTACACAAAAACATGGAGCAAAGATCCGCTATTCCTTAAAAGTACACTTTTATGACACAACATTTATCTTTCCGAGAAATATTTAAGTCCATTTAGCAAAGGGTCATATCACAAATAAGATGTAAATAACAATATCAATCAGGAGTTGTGTAGCGTAGTAGTTAGCGTGTTAATCTCAATGGAAAATGATTTTTATTGCTAGTGTTCGAACCCCAAGAATACCACATAATCCTTTTAAAAATATATTCTTTTAATAGAATAATTTTTGCCGAGAAATTTTCCGCAGAAAAATTTTGTTTGTCATAATTAAATAAATTTTTATAATGAGAACTTTACTCTAAATACGAAATTCACAAATTGAATTTTATTTTTATATTTTCATATACCCCGGTACATGTATCTGAAGCTATAGGCATTCTGAACGCCTTGTTCGCCCATTTCCTTTGGTTGTGAAAGAAATTGGAACCTCTACTCCAACTCCCCACTTTTCCCCGAAATAGGATTTTGGGCTTTGGACAATTTCCCCTCCCTCTTTTTGCTTGTCAAAGTTTTTTTTTTTCAGGTTGAGAAATTTCTTTATTGCTCCCCCTTTTCAAAAACGATACTACTTGACTGCATCTTTGTTCATTCTATTAATCTATTCAGAATTTAAAAAAGAAATAATATTCTCGGTTTGGTTATGTCGCATATCTCACGTGCAGAATCATCTGATAGGACCAACGTCCACTTGCATTATTTCTCTTCCGACAAGGGATGACATTTTCTGTGCCCTTTCAAGAAAGTAATAGTATATTGCAATAAAAGAGTAATTGAGCATGTAAAAGAAATTTATAAAATAAAATTAAAAAGGAAAAATAAATCTTATTCAGAATCCACTATTTAGAATATTATAACAACAAATAATAAATTACAAGTGAGTTACTAAATACATGTACCTTTTTCGTAAAAAAAAAAAAAAAAAAAAAATCCACATAAAGGAAAAATAAATCTTATTCAGAATGCACTATTTAGAATATTATAAATTACAAGTAAGTTAATAACTAAATACATGGTACTTTTTCGCGTATAAAGCTTCACGTACGAAGCTTCAAGCTCCCAACATTGCGAAATTTTAATCCTAAATCTGCATAATTATGACAATCAGCAAAGGAATCAATATTTTGATTCCAAAATTAGCATAAGGGAGTGCAATATGTTTCCTAAAAAAATCTACAATACGTTTTATCTTAATTAAAAGTCAACAACCATTTTATTACAATTGGTAGAGTAATTTGCTTATAGAGTTAGATGTCCTGGTGATATACATGACATTTAAGTTTCTATCTCAGATAAAGACGTTAGAGGCGAGTAAACCTTCCACAAAGTCACAACCTGCAAAGGCAGCAAATGGCAAAGCTAGCAGCAATAATAAAGGAAATCCCGGCAAAAAATCCGCACCCCAGAGTCAGGGAAAAAAGGTAGGAGGGAACGCGGACAAAACCTCACTAGCTCCCCCACTAGACTCTGCGACCTCCAGCAGACCGGGGTCGGGCATAGCCCGTCATCCCCCAATAGCTGGCAAAGAATCCCTCTCACAGGATTCCGTGGAGTATTACAGGGTAAGTCTTTACAGATTTACCATGTACTGACGATCATTCGGCTTCACTTATCAAAGTGGCATATACTCAAACTTTATCATTCTAGTACAGTCCCCTCCCCATCCCCATGCGCGGATCTAGAGGGAGGGGTCCGGACCCCCCTGGAATTGGCAGAGTTATTAAAAGTATATACTTAAGCAAATAAAAAATGACTTTGGACTCCCCTAGAAAACATGGACCCCACCATCGCCACCACGAAATACTAAGGTGTTACTCACGTTTGGGACATGAAATTTACGTTTTTTCTGTTTTGTTTTTGTTTTTTTTTTGTTTTTTTTTTGTTTTTGCTTGTCAAGAATTTTTTGGGGTGGAATTTTTTTTTGTCTGGGATGGACCCCCCCCCCCCCCCCCCGGAAAAAATTCTGGATCCGCGCCTGCTCCCTAGTACACCGGGTTCATGGCATAAAATACTACATCGAAAAAATGGTTTTATTGAACTTTATTGGATGCGTTTGGTTTTAAATCATAAAGATCATGCTTTCACAATCGATCCCTGTTTGATATTTTGTCCGAACTATGCTACATGTAAGGAAGTTTATATGACCGCTCCCTATTCGGAATTAATGTTTAAGAGTTATCTCTCCTATCAGCGGGTCAGTCAACCTTAGTTAATGTATAAAGAGTTATCTCTCCTATCAGCGAGTCAGTCAACCTTAAAATAATATATAAATATTATAATAACAGTAAACATTTCCTTCCTTTTTGTAGGAAATAGGAAAACAATTTCCAGATATTAAGCTTTCTGTCGTTATGGATGCAGAGAGTAAATTTAACCAAGCAGACCTCAACGGAGACGGGGTAAATATCCAAATACTCAATGAGTCAATTACTATCGAGACTTTGATTTTTGTGTAAAATGTCCATGTCTCTGAAACCTGTCTAATTTGATTACTATCCGTAGCAAATCGACAAGGATGAATTGGACCGAGTTCTGGCCCATCACGTGGCATTGTTTACACCTGCCATGATCCAGGAACTGATCAAAGAAATTGACCAGGATGACAATGACACACTGGAATTCATGGAAATCTTAACGGTAACCTCATAGAAAGAAGTCAGCCTGAAAATTGTACTTTTTAGCTCACCTGAACTGAAAGGTGAAGTGAAAATTTTCTGATCACCCGTTGTCCGTCCGTCCGTCTGTAAACTTCTCACATTTTCAACTTCTCCTCAAGAACCACTGGGACAACTTTAACCAAACTTGGTACAAAGCATCCTTGGGTGAAGGGGAGTTCAAATTGTAAAAATGAAGGGCCAAGTCCACTTCAAAGGGGAGATAATCAAGAAAAGACAAAAATTGGGTGGGGTCATTAAAAAATCTTTTCAAGAACCACTGGACCGGATAGCTGAAACTTATGTGGAAGCATCCTGGGGTAGTGTAGATTCTAAATTGTTCAAATCATAACCCCCCAGGGTAGGGGGGTGGGCACAATACGGAATCCAAGTTTTACATTGAAATATGTGGTAAAAATCTTTAAAAATCTTCTTCTCAAGAACCACTGGGCCAGAAAAGCTGAAACTTTATGTGGAAGCATTCTGGGGTAGTGTAGATTCTAAATTGTTCAAATCATGACCCCCAGGGGTAGGGCGGGGCCACAATAGGGAATCCAAGTTTTACATTGAAATATGCAGAAAAAATCTTTAAAAATCTTCTTCTCAAGAACCACTGGGCCAGAAAGGGTGAAACGCATGTGGAAGCATCCTGGGGTAGTGTAGATTCTAACTTTTCAAATCATGACCCCTGGGGGTAGGGTGTGGCCACAATAAGTACTACAAGGGGGGGGGGGGGATCAGGTGAAAAACAGCAAGGCCAAAGTTACTCAGGTGAGCATTGTGGCCCATGGGCCTCTTGTTGTTTAGGTCATAACCTGTTTTTTTTTAACAAGGTGTAACCTGTTGGCATAATATTTTCACAGATATTGGATAAAATGGGCAAAAGGAGACAAAAACTGTCCAATATACCCACAGCAATCCAAGACAATAGTACAAAAGTATGTGCTATACAATAGTGTCACAAAAATTACCATACAAACTCAGGACTACAAGCCTATTCTTTACAACAGTGTCAAAAGGATTGGCGTACAAACTCAGGATTTTTACCAAAGTACAGCAAAGGGAAAATATGGTTCAATGTCACAATGATGCCAATAGGACCTAATCCCCATGGAGTCAAAAAGACTTCTCTGGAATATAATTTCACATATGAAAGCATTAAAAAATGATTTTTATCTGTACAATAAGCTGTTTAAATTGAATACAAATCTGCAAGAAATATCACCCAATAGCTTTAGTTACATTTTAATGACCATGTTATGATCTACTTTAGAGTGATATACCTATACCGGTATTTCAGTGTTCACCATTTAAATGCCATAAGGTATTTAATATTTCCATACAGTCAGGTCAATTAAATTCTGTTGTTTTTTTTTAATGTCTGAATATTTTCAGGATTAAAAAACATATGAAGAAATACACAAATTCATAACTGTTTAATAAATGCAGTACACAATTCTTTTTCTTTTATTCTTTTTTTTTTTTTGGGGGGGGGGGGGGGGGTTACAAGCATTTTAAATCCACTATGATTCCAAATGACAGGCTACTCGTTAAATAATCAAAAGACTAAATTAGTGCAAAATCTTACTTTAATGAAAGACCACACACATTGGATTACTACTAAACTGTGCAGGAAATAACAAACAGTCAATTTTATAAGGCAGTATATTTTCCCCACCATTAGACATGTGAAGTACATTCTAATAGCTATTCAAAGTCTCAAACAAATTAGAACTTCTTTCTTACATAAAGACATAAATTACATCAAAAAGATGTTACACCTTAGATGATTACATTGAAGACATGTAACATAATTGCACATGTAAGGAATAACATAAAGGAACTGGGATTATATATATTTTGACTAGATTGTTGACATATATCTCAGAACTTTTGCTGACAGTTTTGCTCAGGGTTTTCATTAGGTAAGCCCTTCTCAAGTAGCAACAAATAATTAAAAGGAGGTAAAATGTTAATCATTTGGTAATGTTTGAAACACAATTAACAATGTAATAAAAAGCTTATAAGTTAAAAAAGAGATATGTTAAGTATATAAAAACAAAACAAAACAAAAAACAAACTCATTACAAGATAATTATCACCCTGTAAACAATAAAAAAAAAATACATGTGATACTATTAATGCATAAATCACCACATTTCGATTTCTATTAACTAAAGAAACACTAAATGATAAAGTGAATGCTCTTGAGAAATTCTATACTGTAAACAAACTTTTTTTCGCAAGCAAGAACCATGTGAGTTCCACAACTTTATCTTACTGGTGAATATTTCTTGCTGCAAACCATTATTATACCCCGCTTGAAAAGCAGGGTGTATAGTGATGGGGGCATTTGTTACACTTTGGGGTACCCATCTCTTATCTGCAACTCTTCTTAATACCACTGAATAAAATTTAATGATACTTTCACAGAATATTACATAGAACCATTGAGCACTTCCTATTTTAATTTTTGATCAGATGCCCACAGCAAAAAATGGACAATGGTATTCTTTCTATAATATTGAGTGTACCCATTTCTTATCTGCAACTCCTCCTATACCAATGAATAAAATTTAATGATATTTTCAGAGAATCTTTATTACATAGTACCATTGTGTACCCCCCTACTTTATGTTTTGATCAGACAGATATTTGGGCTTTCCCATAGCAAAAAATGGACTTTGCCATTATAATCATATGGGAGACGGGAGGTATCATTTTGTGAGCTCAGTGCTCACATCTCTTGTTTTAATTGTGTAGTTATGTAGAAAATTTCCTCAGTGGTGAAAATTGTCACAGAAAGATATCAAACTGATGAATCACAAATAAAAGATGGTTTACAGTATACTCTGAAGATCATGTTTCCACATCCTAAAGGTACATCACAACACAAACTATTGTTACATATGTACTTGGAATGGAATTGTGGGAGGAACAAGGAAGATAACCCACATTGAAGTCTATGACTCTGGCAAGAGTTAGTGAGCATTAAAATATAACGGAACAAAATTAAAGCACTGCTTGGACAGAAAAATATGTATAGATGTACATATAAATAATACATATTGTAAAGAGGTCAATAAATAAATAAATATTTACTTTGGTAAGCTAATACTATAAATGTATGGACATGAAAGATCCTGTGTAATAAATATGTTATAATGCAACATTAAAACATCATAAACCAAAAAATATCATTTTGTGCACTCCCTTTATTACATAGTAATAAGATTCACTCACGCTGAAAAGCAATTCAGATCTAGTCATCATGTGATGTGATTTGTTTACATTTTCAGTTTTAAATAACATTTTTAACATAAATCCATTGAGATTGGTAACATAACATGCCTGATTTAAGATTCATCCCCAGATATACAATAAGGAAATTCTTTTTACATTTATATTTGGATCACGCTTAATCACACATCACATGTTGGCTGCTTTTCATTTCCAACATTTTACAAAAAATGTTTTCTTTTCCGACATTTTTTTTTTTACTTTTCATTTCCAGCATTTATGACATGCGAGTACTTTTCTGGCAGTAAAATCAAACTAGAGACTTTCTGTATTTAAAGGGTAAGAGAATAAATCATTGATATCCAAATGATAAGATCAATTTGGCTTTTAAAGAAACTAATATAAATTTCACCCTGGGGTACATGTGTCGGTAAACTTTCACTCATCTCCATTACAAATCAATATATTCAGTTAATTTTGATATCAGATAGGGAAAAATTTAAGCACTGAATCATTATTTTTTGAAAGATATAGTCTCATAACTGCAACGGTGTGAACAAACAATTTTTCATAATGTGCTAACACATTTTTTTAACTCCTTGCCTTGAATGCAAATGTGATTTATATTTCTAAATCCCTGTATTATCCTACGGGTAAGTTAGAGTTAATCGAAGAGCCATTGCAACAACTTCTGTTCAAAGTGAGTGCAAATTTTGATTTTCGCTTATGACATTGCACTTTTACGACATTTGTGACGTCAAAAAAAACCCACATACTTAAACCTTTTGACCCCCTGTCCGTGTTATGGTGTTTTGAATGCCGTAGCTTTCCTCACACTTTGTGGAATGTAAATATGGAACTAATAAAAAACACACAGAAACCAATGGACATTTCAGGCAAACTTTTAACTAGTCCTCTTTGTACATAATATTGTAAGTAAACTTTTCTATTTGGAAATGGTTGTGTTTAAAATAAGTTTAATATTTAGTTACTGTTCAATATTCTACTTCCACTTACCTGACTAACACTGTATTGCCAGAAAAGTACTTTTAAAAAAAAAAAATAAATAAGAAATAAGTGTCAGAAATGAAAATAAAATATGCCAGAAATGCTGGGCATAATACCAGAGATGAAATGCAGCGTACATATTACTGGAATTTATTATTACAGGGTCAAAATTATTATTAAAATATTTAATTATTATTATAGTATTATTAATATTATTATTAATATACAAGGTCAAAAATCAGATACTACATATGTATTCTATCAGCAACAGCATTAAATTTCTTCATATTTTTGGAAAAAAAATCTGCAGAATTTGATTATTTTCAACTAAGTAGTTATAATCTTAATTATGTAAGATTAGTGATTATCTTCAGGGAAAAAAAGGAACCATGAACTACTAGTCCTTATTTTCTCCCCCAACACTGTTAGTACAATGACAACAACAGAAACATTACAGCAACATTACAACAACAAAAAGCTGACCAAATTATACATAGATTCTCTTTCATTTTGCTTCTATCTACCAAATTCATTGTCCACAGAAATCAACACCCATGTTGATAACCAATACCCGATATATAAAACATAGGTAATGCTGGTGTCTACTTCTCTTTTCCACATTTAAACTGAAATCACAAAAAATGGTTCCAAATTCTACTTATTTTGATCACACAGCTACAGGCTCTGTTGCCTCCTCATTGCATGACTTTGACCTTATGACATTTTGTTGTGCTGTAGTCTTGACTTCAGTGTTCTCACTGGTCGTGACTGGGATGACACTGATGTTCTTATCCTCATGATCTGTAGGGAGGGGTAGTTCCTCTCCTCCTGTCATCTCCGTTTCCCCCTCCATTCTTTCGTATTCCCCAGGCTGGCTTGTTGTCAGAAACTTGATAGCTCTGTCAATTCAGGCACAATGATGTGAGATCATTATTGTTACAGAATAATTTCTTAGCAGATCAGTGCACCGTCTTTTATTTACATAAAGAATAAAACATGTTCTATATACAGAAGGAAATGCATATGCATCTGTTTTTTAAAACTTGTATTTGATATTCATTTTTCTTGAAATCTGTTTGAGAATAACATAATTCTCATGATAGTATGTTATTACATGCATACATGTTTATAATTCTTAGTACATTTAGTGTTTAATTATCAATGCATATACATGTTTTACAAACTTAAAAAAAACAATGAAAAGAAAATATAAAGCACATATAGAATACCAGTCTGATCAAAACCAAGCCTTTATTTTTATTTGGTTGTTTTGATGTCTGAAGGGAAATCAGGGATTTGGGGGGGGGGGGGGGGGGGGTCTTCAACTACAGTACTTACATAACAAATCCCACAGGAATGATTAGTAGAATGACCGAAAGGACGAACACAAATCCAGTGAAGTAGTCAATACTGTCTGCGTAGAGGGACTGGAACATGAAAGGAGCCAGGAAGTAGGTGATCCCCTCCCCACAATGCATCAAAGCAAACAGGGACCCTAGGGAATAAAATAAACATCCATTACTATTCATGAAGGCTATAGAAATATTTTATAATGTTACCATAGGTAGAAAGAACATCATCATTATCAAAATCAATAGTTCCTCATTATGCTTTAGTAATAATATAACAAAGCTAGAACTGTCCAAAAGGGACAAATACCCCCCGCAGGGTTTTTCAGAAAAGGTGCTAAGTCACTAATACTAGTATTTGATGGATCTAAGAGGTGTTCACAATTTGTTTAAACATTTAGATTGAAAATTTAATGGTAATTCCTCATTTTATTTTTTTAATGAATGAAACTAAGGCGCAGCCTAATAAAACATAAATACTTATAATAACCTCTTTTTTATTCCATTGAAAAAAATAAATAACAATTTTTCAAGTATTTCTCAATTGGAAAATATGGATGCATTATTTATCCATTTTTTCTACAGTGACTCTAGGTCAAGATCATGACACACCCTCGGGTCATAAGCAATCTTTGTGTGAAGTGGAAACTCCCAAAATCCCAACATTATTCTCCATAAGAAAGATACAGACTGGACATGAATTATGAACTCTTTCTGTCAGTGACCTTGAACTTGCCCAAATGACCTTGGGCCATGCAAGGTCATGACACACCCTCAGGTCATAAGCAATCTTTGTGTAAAATGTGAACTCACCAAGTTTATCCATAAGAAAGACATGGACTGGACATGAATTATGAACTTTTTCTGTCACTTACCTTGAACTTGCCCAAATGACCTTGGGTCAAAGTCATGACACATCCTCAGGTCATGAACAATCTTTGTATAAAATGGGAACTCACCAAGTTTATCCATAAGAAGATATGGAATGGATACCAATTATGAATTTCTTCTTTCAGTGACCTTGAAAAACCCATATGACCTTGGGTCAAGGTCATGACATACCTTCAGGTCATGAGCAATCTTAGTGTAAAATGGGAACTCACCAAGTTCATCCTTAAGAAAGATATGGACTGGACACAAATTATGAACTTTTTCTTTCAGTGACCTTGAACTTGCCCAAATTACCTTGGGTCAAGGTCATGTCACACCCTCAGGTCATGAACAATCTGTGTGAAGTAGTAGATTTTAATGTTCCTCTGTAAGAAAGATATTGACCGGACACGTTTACACAGACAGACAGACAGACAGATGGACGGACGGACAAGGTGATTCCTATATACCCCCAAAACTTCGTTGGGGGGGGGGGGTATAATTAACAATCTGACACTTAGAACATACCATAAAGAGATTGGTTTATTTTGGAATGCATGTAAACTGAAGTAAAAAGAAAACTTGCAATATACAATTAGTATTCAATTACTAGTACCTCATGTGTATACAACGTGAATGTCACATTCAAAACACATTATTACTGAACCATGTTACATACCAGGTACATATTTGTATTTGAACAAATTTGAACAAGTTTAAGGCACTGTGAGTGATAATGATAGCCCCTGCTGCAATTTATAAATAAACAAGATGTGTTTGTGAAACACTGATGCCCCGTATGGCAGCTTATGGCGAAGGTTAAAGTTTCTTCAAATGCAAGTCAAAATCCAGGCCAAAAGATAAGAAATGTTGATACCCAAAGAAAGGTCTTGTCTCGAGGAATACACCTATGAAATTTGAAAGACCTAGATACAACTGTTCAGAAGTTATGGCGAAGGTTAAAGTTTTTTGAATAAAAGTCAAACGTCAAGGTCAAGGTCAAAGTGGTTGGTATCCAAAGGAAGATCTTGTCACAAGGATTACATATGTGAAGTAAGAAAGCCCTAGCACCAACAATTCAAAAGTTATGGCCAAGGTTAAAGTTTTTCAAAAGTAAGTCAAACTCCTAGGTCAAGGTCAAAGGGTCAAATAGGTTGGTATCCAAAGGAAGGTCTTGTCACAAGGATTACATATGTGAAGTATGAAAGCCCTAGCATCAACCATTCAAAAGTTATGGCCAAGGTTAAAGTTTTTCAAAAGTAGGTCAAACTCCTAGATCAAGGTCAAAAGGTCAAAGTGGTGGTTGGTATCCAAAGGAAGGTCTTTTCGCAAGGATTACATATGTCAAGTATGAAAGCCCTAGCTCCAACCATTCAAAAGTTATGGCCAAGGTTAAAGTTTTTCAAAAGTAGGTCAAACTCCTAGGTCAAGGTCAAAGGGTCAAAGTGGTTGATATCCAGAGGAAGGTCTTGTCACAAGGAATACACATGTGAAGTTTGAAACCCTAAGCACCAAATGTTCAAAAGTTATGGCCAAGGTTAAAGTTTTTCAAAAGTAGGTCAAACTCCAAGGTCAAGGTCAAAAGGTGAAAGTTGTTGGTATCCAAAGGAAGGCCTTGTCACAAAGAATACACATGTGAAGTTTGAAACCCCAAGCACCAACTGTTCAGAAATTATGGCTAAGGTTAAAGTCTCATAAAATTTTGCAAAAGTAGGTTAAACTCCAAGGTCAAGGTCAAAAGGTCAAATATGATGGTACCCAAAGAAAGGTCTTGTCACAAGGAATACACATGTGAAATATGAAAGTCATAGCTCCAATCAATCAAAAGTTATGGGCAAGGTTAAAGTTGACAACAGACAGACAGACAAACAGGACAAAAACAATATACCCCCGGGATCTTTCGATCCGGGGGCATAAAAATTGGGTTCAATGTCTCTCACACAGTGACTGTGACTCTCGATTTTGCCTGAAATACCTCGAGTCAAAGTCATGACACATCTTCAGGTCATAAAATTTTGTTTTTATCAAGAATGGGCTTCCAATGTTTCTCCATTACAAGATAGGAGAGGAATTATATATTTTCTGCATTTGTCAAATCAACCATAAGTCAATGTCGAGCTTGGGTAAAAAAAAGGACAGATTCTCAAATCATAAGCAAACTTTCTTTCAAGTACAATCTTCAAATGTTTCTCCATAACAAAGTTATGGTCCACAGAAGGACAAAGTGGTTCCTTTACACATCCTAAAACTTTATATTATTGCTCAAAGGTATGCCTGTAACTTTGATGGAACTTTTTTTGATTCCATGAAGTTGCAAAACAATAAAATATTGTGTTACTGCTTAACAGAAGAGTACTTCATATACTTTTGATAAAGCTTCCAGATGACTCTTCAGTACATTTGCATACCAATTTAATTTTATGCAGAGTTTAGAGGGCTACAATGTTTAATAAGACCGCGGAATATTAACTGGCAAAATTGGAAATATGCAGCTTACGTCATTTCCATCTGTTACAATCAAAACATTTAATGACAGACAATGGAATGGGCGGGTACAATTCAGCACGGACGTCCGAGAAAACATTGGATTGAAATTCTAGTTTGAAAATCATTTTCAATCCACCTCGGCTACATTAAAAGGCAATGAGTTACTGATTGACCAAGAAAACAAATACATGTGTAATTTCAATTTCGGAATATTTGGAAGTTTAAATATATAAATAAGATTTTCTGACCAGTGTTTTTAAAGAAATATAAAGGGACAAATATTGATTTCTGTATGTGCATGCATGTGTTGGGGAGTTGGGGGGGGGGGGGGTAGAAGGGGCTGAATGATCTTGGAAAAAAAAAGAATGTTTTGCTTAAGTTTGGACAACCCCTCCGTGTTTTTGATTGTCAAATGTTTTTCAGTAAAGACAAACCTAAAGAAAATACATGTACCTCTTGTCATCCTAGAAATAAATATATTTTGTTATATGAAAGCATGATCTGACTCGACAATTTTTGACCCCCCCCCCTTTTCTAGAATGAAAAAAGCCATTTCCGAAAGAAAAAAAAAAAATCTCCGTTTTCTATGACTTTTACGTGTCCTTAAAATTATAGGCTAAAAACTCATATAAACAATGATAAATATGAATTTCAAACAACATGTATTTGGGAATTGAAATTATTTGTCTTTTAGATCATACATTCACACTATGCGTTTGAAATCAGCTCAGGTGGATTGAAAATGAATTTCAAACTAGAATTTCAATCCAATGTTTTCTCGGACATCCGTGCCGAATTGTACCCGCCCATTTCATTGTCTATCATTTAATGTTTTGACTGTAACAGATGGAAAAGACGCAAGCTGTATATTTCCAATTTTGCCAGTTAATATTCCGCAGTCTTAACAAGATTAATGAGTTATTTTTCCTTGTGTTCAAGATTGCAAATTTAGCAAAAATTTTAGAGGGCTTCTACTGAATCGCTAAATAAAGCCAGCATACTGATAGCACCCCTTTGGAAAAAAAACTATATGGTATATGATTTAGAATGCAACTCAGCTGTCTCTGACACAGCTTATTCAAAACACTTAAAACTTATTCTGAATTTAATTTTAACATGAAAGTAAGTCTTGTCTTTTTTTTTTTTTTTTAAAAATGGTTCATCTTTGCTAGCCAAGGGTTTTTGATCCGCTACTCTCCTCACAAACCCTTGGCATACTGTGCTATTAAAAGTTGGGGTTTTTCTCTCGAGTTGTGATTGGAGTTGATCGACATCATTCGAGCAGTCAGCAATTGCTTTTGTAAATGATGATATTTGTCTTCGGGATATCTTGATTCTTTAGTCTCGGGAATGAAAAACACAAGAAAACAACGATTCGTAACATAACATGCCACTCTATAAATAGATATGATGTCATCCAATCTTAAGCCGATGTACAAATATTGTGACCAGGAATCTTATTGTAGATGTAGATTTGCACGATAAATAACAAATAAACATTGCTCGAAATCTTCTTGTTAATTATTCTTTAAAAACTTAAATTTTCAAATACGCCTTTGATTTTTGTCAATGATGCAATTTGTGCGTATGTTGGAAGATTCGAGATCATGTGTCGTAAACAATCCCAACTTCTGACTGCACCGTATGCCAAGAGTTTGTGAGGAGAGTAGCGGATCAGAAATCCTTGGCTAGCGTAGATGAAAATGGCTGGACTTATTACACTTCTGGCAAAATGGAAGTACTTTATACCTTGATCAGCTGTATCTATACTGTTGGCAACAACTGCTCTTAACATTGGGAAAGGAATAAGCTCCAGTACCAAGAGGAAAATTGCTAAAAAAAGAATGATAATAATTTAATACAAAAACCAAATGTTTTCATTATTAAAGTACTATGAAGAATTTCAATACTGAATATTACAAATCAAACTTTTTCTTACCAAAATATATAACAACTTCATTCTGAACAACAGCTAACCAGAGAGTCCCCACAGCCTTGGAGAAAAGTCCTCCAAATGTGATGTGGATATCAGAGAACCAGTTCCTCAACACAGGGGGAGTGAACAGCACCCCTATCGATGCCACACCCATGGCTACCGACAAGAAGACCCCTACCTTGTGTGACTGCCAGTGGTAGGGAGATCCAGTGAAATAAAGAACCAGGGTATTGATTTGTCCCAAATGAACCCAGGCATAGCTTTGAAATGCTAAAATGGCTAGCCACATAATTAGAAGTTTTCTTTCTTTACATCTGAAAAACTTTCCCATAGGTTTGAACGTGTCTATACAACAGTTTTCTGTGTCATACCTATTAGGATTACTTGTTTCTACTTTTACTTCCTTTACTAAGAAGAATGAAATCAGAAAAGCAATACAGCCACAAATCAGTGTGAACCAAAATGGTTGGTGAAATCCACTAGCTTGTAGCCAGTAGCCAACCATAATATTAGCTATTGCATAGGCTATGCCATTCAAAGATTCCTGTATAGCAAGACGTGATGAGCGTTTTTCTCTTTGCGTTGTGTTAATGGCAAAAAATGTACTCCCAGCTAAGAATGCAGTCATACTGCCACTCAACCCTCTCAGGGCTGAAGCCATAAATAACCCATCCAATGTCCAACTAGTGTACAGAATCAAGATATAAATTAATGAGTGAAGAATTCCTCCAAGCGAGGGCATCCACAGCAGAATCTTTCTCCGTGACGTTCTATCGCTGACGGCTCCTAGGATAATCACAGTAATTAAAGCAGGAAGTCCCTCTGCTATCTGTAAACTCAGGATCGCTAACGTGCTTTCTCTGTGAGCAATATTATATAGACTTGAGCCATTGCCACTGTAAAATGGTTCTATTGCAGAGGCTTTTAAGTTGCTTTGTTTGTAAAACTCTGATTGAACGTACTCCTGGAATAACGGTAAAGTCATGTGTCTAGACAGAAAAAAGAAAAAGTACGCCACCTCCACTAAGTATGGCTGTACCTCAGACAACATCTCCATGCAATGGGCATTTGACTGGATAGCAAACCGCCTGACTCTCTCCATCTTGAATAACTATCTATATAATTAGTTACATTAATAAAAACATGATAAATGTTGGCTCCTCCTTCTACCAAATCGGAATCGACGTTGTTGATCGAGACCGGAAACCATCACAAGACGACATCTAGTGGTAGGGTTCGATAATCAATATTTCCCGCCATATGTCAAAATGTTTATCTTTTCATTTAATTAAAGTAGTATTATATACATATATTTGTAAAGAAAATGTAATTATTCTTTTTATTTTCCTTATCAGTACAATGCTGGATGTGTCAACTTACTTACCAAGACTTCAAAAGACATACATTATAATTGTTTTCCCGAACCTCTGCATTGGTGCCTTCGGAGTCCTTAAAGGCGTCGGAAGCAAATTGAAAGGGGGGGGGGGGCTAAACCGACAAAAAAGGTAAGCCCCAATTTTCAATGCCTATATTATGTCTATCTTTGCAGTGGCTAAGCCCCCCCCCAGCCCCCCTCCCCCTGGTTCCAACGCTTATGAGGCCCTACAAGAAAATGCTTTAGTAGGTCCGTGATGGGGCCTACTGGAGTTATCATTGCGCAGTACTTCGCGCAGCATAGTAAAATCAATCGTATTTGCACTTTAATAGCAATTATGTTCACTCCCTCTGGAAATCAGACAATAAAATTTAGTGTTTCTTAAATATAACGTACAAAATAGTATAACTCATCATATTTTATAGTTTTGGCAAAATCTCAGTTGAAGTATTTTGAAGTGCGAAAAACTAGCACTTTCAGTCCCATATAATTCTACAGTAAATGAACCTGTATTTTGAGAAGACACCTAACAATTAAATACCCAGACGATAGATTTTTCCCTAAACTTAGCATGTACACTGAAGTCATTGTAAGATACAAATGATATAAAATTTGTTTCTTATTGTTGTATTCACACAATAAACCTCTGTCGGCTCCCTTAGTTTGGCTAATTGTGACGTCATAAATTCCATATAATTGTGACGTAACATTATTTATTTAATTGTGAGTCAAATGATAAATCATGTCTCGCCAGGGTATACGATGTTTGTCTAGAGCAGAGGCCGCTGATATTCGTAGCAACATCCCTATTGCTGTTTACTGGTCAGATGTTGACGTAGCAAATTGGATAGAAGAAAACGGTTTTCCTCAATACAAGGTATCACCGTCCATGTTGCCAAAACATGAAACAATTTGAAAATATTCGTAAATATGCGATTCATTGTCAAACAAAGGACGTGATATTTACTATCAATATTTTAAGCGAAAAATATAGAATAACACACAATTAAAACATACGCGCTCCCCATCTAATTTCGTTAATGAGGAAACAGTAAGTACATGTATATATACACTCTATGTACATGTAGTTGATTTTATAGTACAGAGGGGTAAACTTGTATATATACTTCAGTATCATTTCTTCATTTACGAAATTAGATAGGGAGCACATAAGGATAAAAACTTTCGTTACGAAATGTATTTCATAAGCATTGCACATATATATATATATATATATATATATATATATATATATATATATATATATATATATATATATATATATATATATATATATATATATATATATATATATATATTTCATTTTCAGCGATGTTTCTTGGAAAATTTCATAACAGGGAGAAAACTGATCGCCATTGACGCTTCATCCTTGCCAAAAATGGGAATTCACGATTTTGAGCATATCAAGGTGCGTTTTATTTTCAATATCAGTTGTTGTTGTTGTTGTTGTTGTTTGTTTGTTGTTGTTGTTGTTTTTTTGTTTGTTTTTTTTTTACATTGAACAATTATTTTAAATAATGGGTAAATCCTTTAGGAGAACAGCTGTCGGTTTTGTGCATTTGTATGGTATGGATCAAGTTTTATAAAATGCATTTGTCTGGTATGGATAAAAGAATTCCACTTCTGGGGAGGGAAGTGCATCAAAAGAGAACAATGATAAAAATACTATAAACATCAAGAATCAGAGAAACAGACGAACGAAAATTAAACAAACAACCTCTCCCTTACTCAAATCAAGGCAATATTGACTGGTCTATATATTTATATGTCATGCCTGTTTAGAATTAATTCAAACTTTTATAACTCATGTAGAAATTACACATATTATATGTTTTTGAAGGAAAATTACGAAAACCTATTAGGATCAATCTATGGAGAGAAAAAAAATAAAAGGCGTCATAACGCCTTTGAAAAGGCGTGATAACGCGAAAAAAGGCGTTATAACGCATTTGGAAACGGCGTAATAACGCGAAAAATGCGTAATAACGCGAAAAAAAGGCGTTGTTGCGCTTTTCCAAAAAGCGTTTTTACGCCTTTCAAAAAGGCGTTATAACGCCTTTTATTTTCAATATATGACTTATAACTTAGCCCACTGAAATCTTACCCTCGGGACATGAATTTCATAATTAAATATAGGGCTAATTTCTCAAAAAGTAAATTAAACATATTGTAATTAGATTTCCAGGAAAAAAGATTTTTAAATGTGTAATATATTTTCAATGTTAAACCAGCTAAGTCCTTCACTGATGCCAGACTCCTCTACCAAGGATCATGGATTTCACGAATTTGGTTGAAGGTTAATTGCTCATTATACCCATGAAAATAGTTTGCCTGCTTTTTTCCAAGAGGAGAGAAAAATATTTTCAAATTTGACATGCATTTTTAATACATGGCCAGCAAATCCCTAAACTGCATCTATCTATATCCTGGATTTTCAGGCGTAGTGTTGACTTCTCTTAATACGCATGCGAACAGTTGTATGCGAGAAGTGCAGGAATATAGAGAGTAAGTTTAAATATTGCATAAATAAAGAGGCTTTAATTCAATCTTTCATATATTTATTAATATAAAATAACGCCTTTCCATATTTGGATATAAAGCCTTTTCAAATAGGCCGGTAGTACGAGTGTGAGTGAAGGGGGGGGGGGGCTCCCCCACCCCACTTTTTGGGAGAATAGTCTTGTTATAGTTTAAATAAAAAAATTATTTATTGGCTGCTTGGTCCCTGAACATTTTGTTGCAGTATGGTTAAACTCTGGCACATTTATTGCATTTAAAGAAAGTTTTACGGAAAAGTTAGGAAAAGATCCCCCTCGAGTTTAGGCAGTTTTCGGGAGGGGGTGGGTGGGTTTTTTGTTTCTCGGTTTTTTGTTTTGAGAGGCTGCCCCTCCCCCCTCTTTCAAAAACACGGGTCTGTCAAAAGCGTAATAATGGCTCTTCAAAAGGCATAATAACGCCTTTTGAGAAAGCGTAATAACACCTTTTGAAAAAGCGTAAAAACGCTTTTTAAAAGGCGTATGAACGCCTTTTGGAAAGGCATAATAACGCATTTTGGAAAGGCGTAATAACGCTTTTTGGAAAGGCGAAATAACGCTTTTTGAAAGGAGTAATAACGCCTTTTAAATTTTTTTCCATAGATTCATTCTTATAGGCTTTCCTAGAAAATATATAATAGAATACGCACAAATAGAATTAAAAGGGTAACTTTTTGAAGGGGGTGGGGTCGGGGTGATTCTTAAATATACCACTTTTGCAGTAGAATAGGACATTTTATTGCCTGCCTGATGTCATGAGCATCAGGCAGGTTTCCATGTTACGAAACTGTGGAATGAAAACTAGCCAGCTAAATTCTGTGCAAGCAGATTTACATCGAAATTGTTACTTGCGTTTTAACAAAAAAGGTGTGTTTGTGAAACACTGATGCCCCTGTTTGGCAGCTCAAGGCCAAGGATTAAGTTTTTCATATGTAGGTCAAACGCCACGGTCAAGAGTACAACAATGTTGGTACCCAAAGAAATGTCTTGTCACACGGAATACGCAGGTGAAATATCAAAGACCCAGCGCCAACCATTCAAAAAATGGCAAAGGTTAAAGTTTTTTCTAAAGTAAGTCATTCTCCAAGATCAAGGTCATGAGATAAAAAATATTGGTACCAATGGAAAGGTTTTGTCACAAGGAATATATTAGTGAACTATGAAAGCCCTACCGCCAAACATTCATAAGTTCTAACCAAAAGTAAAGTTTTTGTCAAATGTAGGTCAAACTCAAAGGCCAAGGTCATGAGGTTTAAAATATTAGTACCCCAAGAAAGGTCTTGTCACAAGAAATGCGCATGTGATATTTGAAAATCCTAGTACAAACTGTTCAAAATTTATGGCTAAGCTAAAGTTTTTTAATAGCAGGTTTAACTTCAAGGTTAAGGTCAAACAGTAAGAAATGTTACTCAAAGAAAGATCTGGCAACATGAAATACACATGTGAAATATAAAAGCCCGAGCACCAACCTTTAATTGTTATGGCTTTGGTAAAATTTTGCAAAGACATACTACAGGGTCATGATGAAGAGGCCAAATATGTTGGTATCCAAAGAAAGGATCATCTCATAAGAGATATGTAAGTGAAATATGAAAACCCTGGCACCAATAGCTCAAAAGTTATGGCTAAAGGTAATTTTTTTTTTCAAATATAAGTCAAACTCAAAGGCCAAGGTCATAAGGTTAAAATATTGGTACCCCAAAAAAGTTCTGGTAGCATGAAATACACATGTGAAATATTAAAGCCCTAGCGCCAACCTTTCAAAAATTATCGCCAAGGTTAGAGTTGGTAAAGTTTTTGCAAAAAGTAGGTCATACTCCAAGGTCAAGAGGCAAAATGTGTTCTACTCAAAGGAAAGGTCTTGTCACGAGAAATACATAAGTGAAATATGAAAGCCCTAGCATCAATCGCTCAAAAGTTATGGCCAAGGGTAAAATGTTTTCAAATGTAGGTCATACTCAAACGTCAAGGAGATAAAAATGTTGGTACCCAAAGAAAGGCCTCGTCACAAGAAATAAACATGTGACATATGAAAAGTCTAGCAACAACCTTCAAAAATTATAGCCAAGGTTAAAGTTTTTCAAAAGCAGGTTAAACTCCAAAGTCAAAGTCAAGGTAAAACAGTCAAAAATATTGGTACCCAAAGAAAGGACTGGCCACGTATAATACACATGTTAAATATAAAGCCCTAGAACTAACAATTCAAAAGTTATGACCAAGGTTAAAGTTTCGTAAAATTTTGCAAAAATAGGTTTAACTCCAAAGTCAAGCTAAAGAGGTCACATATGTTGGTACCAAGAAGGTGGTCATGTCACAAGGAATAAACGTGTAAAATATATCGCTAGCCCAAACCATTCAAAAGTTATGGGCGAGCTTTTTATTTTTATTTATTTTTTTGGGGGGGGGGAGGGATAAATTAAAAGACAAAAAGACAGATAGACGGAAAGACAGACCAAAAAATATAGGCCCCTGAATCTTCGATTATGGGGGCATTAAAAAGTTATGGGAAAAAAATTTTCAAATTACTGATGCAAATTTTTATTCCATGCAATTGCTACAAATATGAAGATAAGGCCCGTAGAACGCGGGGCCGGGGGGGGGGGCTGCTCCCTCCCACTTTTTCTGAGGATAGCACTTTGTGCTATAGTAAATTTACAATCATATGCTGTTTTTTTTCGGTTGCTGTACGGTCGAGCACTAAAGAGGTATCAAAAGGTAAGGAAATGGACCCCTCCCCCCTCCCCCCAGGCACACACACACGAAATAATATTTTCGAGTTACGACAGTTTTTTCCTTTATTTTTTAACACTCGTCAGATTTTTATGTCAGTTTTTTAGAGGGGGGGGGGGGTAAGTTGGCCCCCGCTTTTAAATCCGTTGCTATGGGCCTGGGGATGTCCGTGAAATCTTTTTTTCTATTTTTCTTTACTACTGGACATTCTTTACTTTTATGAAATGGGGGGACACAGTCATTTATCTTGGAATGTTCTATTGAATGGGCGTGATGGCTTCCATGCATAAAACATGAAAAAAAAAGGTGATGATAACGAGCAGTGATCGATCCCATAAAAACGTCAAACAATTCAAATCTGTGAACAGGGCATAAACACGGACCCCTGCAAATTCCAGAGGTAGGATCAGGTGCCTAGGAGGAATAAGCATCCCCTGTTCTAAAAAGCGTCTTTTGTCTATAAATTTTTGATTTATTTTAAGCCCCACTTTCCGGAAGGCACATCCTTCTACTTGGCTATAAGCTTATCTATCCACTCTTCTGTCCGTCTATTGGTTTTTTCAGATGTTTTCTTTGACATAAACTTTGACATACTAGATTTTAGTCCGAAATATCTAACGTTTTCCAGGCGTTTTTTACGATTTTGATATTTTACGTGACTTATTCCGAAATATCTAACGTTTTCCAGGCGTTTTTTACGATTTTGATATTTTACGTGACTTATTCCGAAATATCTGACGTTTTCCATGCGTTTTTCACGATGTTGATATATATTTTACGTGCCAGGATAACGTCAGAACCGGAACTTGTCAGAAACTAGATTTGAGAATGTAGGTTATGATTGAGTTTCATGTGGTTTGATCCTTTTGTTTTCAGAGTAATGAACTTTTAATGGCTAAAAATCAACGAAACTGTTTTTGTTTTATTTTGTTTGTTGTTGTTTTTTTTTAAATTTATTTTATGGTTAGACTTTAAAAGGTGCTAAACTAAGATCTTACAGAGTGGTGTATGTAGTAAAGTTATAGCAAACAAAGTTGAAATTCAAGGAATTTTGACTTATAGTTTACAAAGTTACTATGTAGGATCCGCTAATAGTTGGATAGATTTTTTTAAAAATAATTTCTTTTTTATTAAACTTTAAGGTATTGGATCAAGATTTGGTATACTTCTGCGAATATCATAGCATCATATCGTTTCAGTTTCCTATGAATTCTGTTATTATTCGGAAATGCTTTTTTTAAAGGTAGAGACTGCTTTTTATGGTTCTAGCTATTTTTCAGATGCATGATGTCTTTCATGCTTCAAAATAAAACATATCTGGTATAAACATTAAAGTTCATTGACCCTCTGATAAGATTAAATGACTAATTTCAGTCAAAGGGTCATTTCTGTCAAACTTTGCCCCGCAATGTATGCTGAAATTGTGTATAATTTTTATCATAAATTTGATTTCTTTTTGAAAAACATTGGCTTATACGAATAAAGAGACAGACGAAGAACCTTGATTTCATTATACCACTGCTGTCTGTTTTAATCTGAGAGAGAAATTCCTGTATCCGGTCGGTCTTCTTCGTAAGATTTGTTTGGGATATTATTGCCCCAACAATGCTCTAAAAATGCTCTTTTTTTTATTTTAGCAAATCACGGCGTTGGTCCGGGATTTGTTGGGAATCCCTAAGTACCTCATCAAGAGGGAGGTTCAGATGAGGGACCCACGGATAGCATACTTGGAGTTGAAGCGCCGGACGGGGAGGGAAATGGACAGCACCACCTTCAATATCTTCCTGTTTGACAACAGACACTTCTTTCCACAGAAGAGAAAATCATTCTCGCATTAATGGATCCCTTTGTCCGTTTTTAAGTCTATTAACATTTTTACTGGTTGCAATGGTGTAAGATTTTTTTTCTTTTTGGTGTCAATTTTTTTTTACAATTTCGATTGGTATGCTTGAGACATTTATTTGTCGGAAAAAGTTGCAAAAATTATACTAGATTCATGTATACATAATAAAATAAATCATTTAACAAATTTCTTGCCGTTTTGTTGGAGGAAAAAGACACAAAGACAAATAATTGGTAAGATGTGCTTTTAATCCAAATAATTATGCATGTAATATAATCATCCATGGTCAGTTGTTTTTGATCCGCTCCTCTCTCCAATTATTCCCTCAGTACTCGAGCAGATCAGAAACGCTAGCCGGAATTATGAAATTCAAGTATCTACATTTAATTAAGAGTGAGGGCACTAGAATAGACGTAGAGAAAGTGATAGACGTGAAGATAAAAAGAACAGTGGAAATTCCATAAACGTATATAACGTTATAAACAGTATAAACGTTCATCCATGGAATTTGATTATCTTTGTAAAGGAAAAAGAACAACCAAAAACAAATTAAGTCTAAAAACTGGTGATACATGTATATGTTATTGGAATAATTTGCACACAGTTTTGATTTCACATGTGACGTGGTTAGTTTACAAAATTCCAAATCTTTACAACAGAAAAAAAAAAATGAAATTCAAAACACCGTTTACATTAAAAATCAGCTAGCTCATCTATTTCATTTCCAAGTCTGGCTTCACACTATACATGTACAAGGGTTGTGCTGCTAAATCATACACTTTGCACATAACTAAAAAAATAATGACCGCATTATCCTGATTTTTTCTCTCTCACTTATTATGTATTAATGATTTTAGATTATTCACTATAAATTTCAATCCAATATCTCGTCAAATAATAAAGTGACGAAGGAAAAAATGTGTATCTTTTGGTCATCCGGTGCAATGAATTCAGAATCAACGCGTTCTTGGACAAGGTCGCAAAATTTTCTCCAACATACACCATTTTTTTGGATGGCAATATAAACACATTTTAAAAAGCCAAACTGAATTTAAACTCCTAATAAATGGCACCAAAGCTAGTTTATACATGTATCATTCCAATCCCTATGATAAAATTCACTGGAAAGTGGCCTTAACAAAGCTAACCCTATCCGCTATTTTCGACGGTCAACGTCGACTACTTGTCGAACGGCCGTAACAAGCTTTCTATCTATGTAATGTATTTAGCGGGGGTGCGGTTTCTAGCAGTTCAGTGTTTGTTAACCAATTATTTAGAAACTGTTAATATTTTTTTCTGTCTTATGCGTACTCTTTATTATCGATATTTGGTGCCATTCAAAGTTGAACACAGCATTCTATGGCATTTCTTTGCGCTGCATCGTATTGGTAGACTTTTCCATTTTAAAGGTCAATAATTTCATAAAATGTGATATTAAATATAGAAAATCTACAGTCATATATGGATTATTTTTTATAAGTTCAGACTAACTAAAATTAAAAAGATCCTTCTATTTGTTTTATTACTTTATATAAAGATAGGACTTTCCTGCATATTACACAATTTAAATCAATCGCGTTTCAAACATATCAGAAATTTAAAACAATAAGCAATTTATTTACCGACTCCTCATTTAAATATCAGACACAGTTTAAAGTCAATTTAACTATAGAAACGTGGTGTCATTCAAGTTCAAAATCGGTGAAAATTTAATTGAACGTACATAACAAATATCATGTTCATATACACTCAATCTCGTATTTTTATTTTTTAACTCAGACACGCCATATATAGCTTTAATGCCATTTTGATTTTCTCGCAACTCAAGGAAATGCACGAAATGTTTGTCACTTTTGAAATTTAGATTTTAAAAAAAAATGTGCCATTCGTCACGTGAGCATATACCATGTGTCATGGAAAATCTCACATTTTCTGTATTGTTTGTTTACCAATCATATTTTATATAATTGTTGGGAATTAATGGTCAAAAACATGGTGAAAATTTTATTGAAATACGATACGTCGTATATGCTAGGTACTTAGTCTACGATTTAGTGGGACAACCCTCGTAAATCACTTGCAAAACAACTGAATGCTTTTAAATACGAATGTTTACTATAAATGCATAATTTGTAAAGAAGTATAATATCTCACCGGTGCTTGGGGATGGGACCTGTCTCCCCAATTCTATACCCCAAGAGCTGTTAAATTTAGAAACCTTTTTTTATAAATTAGTTCTCTATGACATACACACGGAATACTTCAAAAAAATACTTGAAAAAAAAAATCTTAAACAACCCTTTTCTAAAATTCACACAGACTGAAAATACTAAATAATTCTTTTTTGTACCAGTCTGTGTTTTTATAAAAGGGTAGTCCCCAAGCACCTGTTTATTACCCCCTTTAGCTTGATAAATTCTGAATTTCTTCGGTCTTCTCATGCAACCACACAGTATTATCGCGGAGATTTTCCAACAAAATAAAGATATTAACAACAAAAAATGACTTCTGAACAAAATACTAGTACATCACACTACAACGACGGATCCTCGGAAAATTCCGACTATACACTACCAGCTGCAACCATCTCCGAACCCACCCAATCGGTGGAGAGTTCCACAAACGTCTTACAGTTCTCACTTTCGAATGCCTTTAAATGTCATTCTACAAATAAACAAAATAAAAAAGTTTTACTACTGTAAAAATAGCATATAAGCGAAACTTAATTTCGATTTTTGAAAATCAACGATGTAACTTGTTATTGGCAGCTATAGCCCAAATACCTGTCGATCGAAATGTAAAATAGAAGGTGCACAATGGCACTATGTAATAAAGATTCTGTGAAAGTTTCATTAAATTTTATTCAATGGTACAAGAGGAGTTGAAGATAAGAGATGGGTACCCACACGCAATAACAGACGGATTGACAGACGCACGCACACCAATCACTATATATAAATCTGCTTTTCAAGCGGAGTTTATGAAAATCTTCATCTACTTCACGGTTATGTTGATTTAAGCTTAATAAATCCATAATGTTTAAACAAAACGTAAATTCCTCAAACTGCATAACCCCCCCCCCCCCCCAATAAAGGGGAAAACCAAAACAGATAAATACCCCCCCCCCCCCCCCTCAATAAAGTAAAACAGAAGTCTCCGATGAGGTTGTGGCTCTACTGCTTTGTAATTTTAATTAAAGAAGAAAGTAACATCTGGTCTTGAAACTTAGTAGCTAGGGCAACACCTATAAATTTAAAGAATTATGCTTCTTGGTTGTTCTGACTATTTGTGTGCCAATTTTTATTGAAATCAGATTTAGACTGTAGGAGGCATCGCAGTGTGAAAGAAGGTCACAGGAATCTATACGTACTGAACATGGCAACACAATTCGTTGCAAAAACCTATCAATAGAATTTTTGAAGTGAAGTCTTGAAATCTTATTGCATACCAAATTTTTATTTAAATCGGATTTTAAACAAGCGGCCCAAGGGCCTTAACGGTCACCTGAGTATAATACAACAATTTAGAGGATCCATAGAGTATAAAATGAACTGAAAAGTGAAGCTTTGTTGTCCAAAAGCAAGAAAAATAGGATGATCAGGATCAACAAACTAATTAGTCTAACATTCAGTAACAGTTCATAAATTAGGTTCTAACCTGTTCCCCATTTATCACCATCACCATACAGTATATTAACAAACTATCAGTCTTCTATACTATTTTAATCCTTTGTTGAAATCTCTTATATTGGCCTCTCTTGGTCTTTGATGAACATTTTTAAACATTTAATAAGACAAATTATTTTTGTCTCATTTTTATTTATCTATTACTTAAAAGTCTAACTAATCATTAAAACTATGAAAGTACTTTTTGTATTATACAATAAAAATTCTTGGGGAATAAAGGGGAATAACTCCTCTCAGAAGAATACAAATTAATAGAGCCCTTGCCAGGACCAGAACACTTGACCAAATGGTCCAGATGTTCAAAAATCTGGTAAAAAATACCCTTCCTTATTAAAACATTTACTCTTTTTGCCTCTGATATTCCCAGGTGCAGAGAAAAATTTTAAAGAAATAATGCATTTTTACTACAGATTCACTATTTTATCAATAGAGCCCCCTCCCCACCGAGAAACACCAGAGCCTCTGAACCTGGGACCAGAAGTTTGCTCATTATAAGTGATCACTTTGTTTATCTGCTTAACACTAAGGAGCAGACAGGATAATTAAATAGAACTAATGCATTTTCACTATGTTATCAAGAGCCCCACCCTTACGCCAACACACCTGACCAAGGGCTCATGCAATTCACTACTCTGGAAGAAGCACTCTTGCTCATCATAACTATACACATAGCTTCTTTGCTTTTTAACCAGAAGCAGAAAGGAATATTTTCAAAGAAATTTTGCTTTTTCACTATATAATCAATAGAGCCCCCCCCTTTCACCAGAGCCCTTGACCCTGGGGCCATGAAATTCACAATTTTGGAAGAAGCATCCTTGCATATCATAACAATGTACTTAGTTTGTTTAAATAATACCCAGGGGCAGAGAAGAAGATTTTCAAAGAAATAAATCACCTTCACTATAGGATCTATATAGCCCCGCCCTAGCACCAGAACCTCTGTCCCTGGGGCCATGAATTTCACAATTTTGGAAGAGGCACCCTTGCTTATCATAACAATGTACTTAGTTTGTTTAAATAATACCCAGGAGCAGAGAAGATGATTTTCAAAGAAATAATGCATTTTCACTAAATAATCAATAGAGCCCCGTCCTAACACCAGAACCCCTGGGGGCCATGAAATTCACAATTTTAGATAAGGCACTCTTCATAACTATGTACCTAGGAGCAGAGAAGAAGATTTTCAAAGAAATAATGCATTTTCACTATATGATCTATATAGCCCCACCCTAGCACCAGAACCCCTGACCCTGGGGCCATGAACTTCACAATTTTGGTAGAGGGCTCAATGCTTATTACAATCATGCCAACAGTTTGACTGGTTGATGTCCAGGAGTAAAGAAGAAGATTTTTTAAGGTTGCATTAATTTTGGTGGTTTTAGCCCCACCCCTCAGGCCCCAGGGGGGCAGGGACCATGAAATTCACAAATTTTGTCCCCCTTCACACATAGATGCCATATGCTAAAATGGGCTGAAATTGGTTCAGCAGTTTCAGAGAAGC